CAGTGGTTTCTTCCGTGCCTTACATCCTGTAAGTCCAAAACTAAGCAGTTTTTTCTCACAGTGGAAGTGCACACGCTTACACCTGTAGATTTCGACTACAGCTTCGTTAATTGGGCTGAATTAAGGCTTCTGTCTGCCAGACTTGTTCTTCTTAACGCAGCGTCATCCCGAACAGAAGTTTTCTTTGGTCGGCCACTATGCGGTCTGTCGTAGATTTTCCTTGTTCATCACACTTCTTAATGACTCTAATTACTATAGATTGATTACAGTTTATTGCGGATGCTATTTTGTGACTAGATTTGTCGTTTTTATCGTGAAAAATAATTTCAAAACGCTTTTCGTACGATAATTTAGTTTGTTTGGTCTAGGATGACACTTTGACCTTTTTATCAAAATCAAAGAGCAAATAAATGTGTTAGGGTAACTATAGTGTTCATATAGTTAAAATATGTGGCAAATTTGTCATTAAAATTCAATTTAATAGGACTTTAACGACTTAATAATTACCTCATAATTTTCTCGGATTATGGGAAATCCCTTCAATCAGATTAATTTAATCTTTTCTGTAGAAATTTGAACTAGTAATTAAAAAACATTAGTAATTATACTGATCATGCTAATTACAAGCACAAACTTAAAATGAATTAGCGAAAATATACAAAAAAATTGTGTTAAACCGCAAAAACTATAAGGCGCTTAGGTGCTGGAGGACCTTTTAACACCACTGTACATCAGGACTTATTTAAAAAATATATTTTAAAGAATGTACTTGATATGTAATAATATGATGAAATGATATGTAATAACTATTTTGTAAAAAATGAAAGTCTTTACCATATATACTGAGTAAATTAAGTAAATTAAGTTTCACAGATTTGATATTTACGTTTTTTAGAAATTTTCCAACACCTATATTATATATATATATATATATATATATATATATATATATTTATATATATATATTTATATATATATATATACATATATATATATATATATATATATATATATATATATATATATATATATATATATATATATATATATATATATATTGGATATTCAGATTTAACATTCGGATAGAAACATGGACGTATAAATAAAGATGGACTGGGCATGCCCTGCACTCTGTTCGCTAATCGAAAAGTTTATAGGCGCGGGGAAAGAGGCGAGGTGATAGACTGTGACATTACCTTTTAAATCATCGGCGTACCTTCCAATAATTGAAAGGTATTTGAAACAGTTTTTTCATTTGAATAAATAATGACTATTGGTTTGATTGCTTTTATTTTTAGTATCGTAAACATATAAAATATTTCGACTAAGTGAGAAACAACCAACGATGAATAATTTTAATTTTCAGTGTATAGAAATAAATATATTTATAAAAATTGATTTACACAAAAGAATAAAGATGGGGTAAATAAAATCGCAAAGTACTTTATATAATATTTTATTTAAACTAAAATAATACACAAGCACTAAAAAGTTTAAAAAATTCTTCCCCAAACATTAACCTGTTCAGGGTGTTGAGTATGTTCTTCTCTTATCCAGTGAGTGATACGTTGAAAAAATGTAGTAAATTATGGTTTATAACTCCAGATTAATTGTTATTTGGCAACATTAGAAGTCATGTTAGACATAGCAGTAGGCAGAAGAAAGATAAAAGTTCAGGAATATGTATTTAAGAAAATATTAATAAACGTAAGAAAACATAAACTATTGTTTAACAAAACATGAACAACAAACCACATATACAACAATATATAAACACATTAAACCTTATGGATGGGGTACGTTTCTAAAATAGAAATATGCTTTATTGTCACTGAAAATTGTAAAATTTTATGAACAAAACTTACAAAAAGTAAAAAAAAAATAACAATAACAATTAAAATTTACTAAAATTACAAAAATGGTCAATGTCATATAATAAAAGATAATAAAATTTACAATTTATTGCAAAATCTAACTAAATTGCAAATTGCATAAACCTTAGGAAGTAGTTTACGAATAAGTTTTAGTTGCTGCATTTGATACCCAAATATATAATACTTTAGTTGCTTGTACCTAAACGTACTGTAATTTCTTAATTTCTCGTTAAGAAACTCTTCCACTGAATAATATGGTCTTTTAGATAGATACGCTTTTGTTAATTTACAGAACTTAAGGAAAGAAGTTGTAGATTTAAGTTGCAAAGGAAATTAATTGTATAATTTTTTTGCCGAATATAATATAGATTTATTTACTAACTCAGTGGACGAAATCGATAAATACATATCAAAGGTTGAATTTCTGGTGAACAATTCATGATTGGGTCTTGCTGAAAAAACATGTAGGTGTTTACCAATTGAGAAAACAGTTTCTAGAATATACCAAGAGGGAAAAGTTAAAATCCCGTGATTTTTTATGTAGCTTCTAAAATGTATTATTTTACTGAGGCCAAAAAGATACCGTGTTGCTCTTTTTTGTATTTTAAAAATAACATTATATTGGGTAGCTGTACTAGAACCGCAAAAAGGAAGGCCGTATCGAAGATGAGACTCGAACAAAGAAAAATATGTTATTTTGGAAGACGCTAAATTCAGCTTCGAAACAGATCGTATTGCATAGCTGGCTGAGATTAGTTTCTTACTTAACAAATCGATATAAATGAACTATTTAAGGTTGCTGTCTGTAAAAATACCATGAAATTTTAAAGAAACAACGATACTGATCTGGCTGTTATTAAGAAGCAAGGGTTGAAGAGCTCCTTTATAGGATAATGCTACTGTCTTATTCATGTTAAAAGAAAGTAAATTATAGTCGGACCAGGTTTTTTAAGTTAATCAGAAGTTTTAATTGCATGAAAAGCTAAATATAAGAAAAAGTAGAGGACCCAGTACTCAATATTGCGGTACTCTACATACATGCTTTTGTGTCTAGAGTCAGTATTATTTGCTCTAACTGCTTGTTTCCTATTTCTCAAGCAATTTAGTTTTTTTATCAAAATGTCGTGAATTACACAATCAAAAGATTTGGCATAGTCTCAAAAAAAACAGTGGCAGCCTAAAGATTATTGTTTAGTGCTTAATAGACCTCATGTAGTACAGAAAACATAGCATCACTTGTACATTTATTAGATAAAAAACTGAACTGGCTTCGTAATAAAATGTTCATTTCAACAAGAAAGCACATAAGTCGGGCTCTTATAAATATTTAATCATTATAGATAGGATGTAATTTTTGTTTTCATTCTTCTTACATATTGTTGTAAATACTTTATTTTACTTTTTTGACTCTTAACAGTATTTTTTAACACTCTAAAATGCTTTTTGATCCTTTCAAGTGTTGAAAAATCGCTGCTAGACATGTCTTCAATGGTTTTATTTCTAAAACATATAATTAGGTTTTCATAGTTAAATTACTTGTTTTTATAAATTAAACTAAGAACTCACTTTTTATAAATATTACGTGGAACATATGAAAAAGTATTATCACCAAGTAACAACTCTACAGTTTCAGTTTCTGATGCTGTAATGGTGCTCGAAGGTGCATTTTCTATATCTATACTTTCCTTGTTTTCTTCATTGTCATTTAAACATCTAGTGTAAACATCTATAATCAATTTATGTACATTAAAGAAAAATATTAAAATTGGTTTAAGATTGAAATAATCTTATACAAAATTTGTCCAAAACTCATCTCCTTTTTAGGAGAATTAGATTTTACATTAAGGCCCAAGTCTGTCTCCATATTACATTTTTCAGTATCAATAAAACTCCTAAAATACTGTGAGTAATTTTAATATTAAAATGAAATAAGTAATTAAAATCCACATTTAGATTTATTTGTAAATTTAATTAACAAATTCGATCCAAACTCACCTTTTTGAAGGTCTATAAAAATCATCCATATCAATACTACTGGAAGTTGTTTCTTTATTTTCCATATCGTTTGTAGAACTGAAACATTGAATTAATATGCTATGCGTGTGCATTATATTTATTATACTCTGTATAGTAAATAACATAGAAATTCGTTATAGTTACCTTAGTTCTGATGATTTATGATAAATATTTATTGGAACATTTCCTTTCCTCATATTAACCCGTCCACTTGGTTGTATAATTAGATCATGCTTTCTAAAGTGTTCTGAGCAGAGCATAACAGTTTTGTTTACTTGTTCTTTATTTAAGCCGAACATAGACAACCACATATCTAGCAGCTGGTGATTCTTTACTGGGAACCTGCATATGATATTTCTTTGAAATTAATATATTTATAGCATTATAGTATAGATTAGAAAAAATAAATAAATGTATTTATAATACGACAAGATTTACTTTATTTCACAAAATTTAATTTCAATTCATGTCAAGAACTAAGTAATATCACATCCCTGTACTACGCTCATGGACGTAATTCCAATGTTTACTTACGAACGAAATGACAGTTCTGGATGAAAATATTAACAAATTCACTAAAATGTCACAAAAAAGGAAATTATCAACTCAAAGGTAAACAGTACAACGCCATATTCCTTTTCGTCAAATCACTACGATTGGTTAATATTACTAATAATGCCAAGTTTTACATAAAGTTAACATTATCAGAATATATTTTCTTTTAATAAATTAAAAAATTAATGTTTTTCTTTTAATTCCTTGGTTGCGAAATGAGTATATCTAAAAATAGTTTATACTAACTAAATAATACATTTTATCTATAAATTAAACTAAATTATACTAAAAATCGAAAATTATTTCGAAGATTCGCTTGGAAAAAAAATAATATGACAACGTCAATTGTGTCTATGACTGTGACGATCTCATGGCTTCATGTACAGATGTAAATAGCCCGGTCCTTCTTTATTTATACGTCCATGGATAGAAAAGAATAAAAGAAATGAAAATTTTCTATATTGGCATAAAAACTAACAAAATGTGTTAGATAATATCCATATAACTTATTTAATAATTAGAAATTAAACGATATTATATTATTAAAAATCTTACCTTTAATATCCAACCCTCCCCTGTACTTGTCCCATCCCCGTAATTTGATTTTGTCTCCCAGCAGTGATAGGAATTGTTCGAACCTATAGCTGCCATACTCTGTAAAGAGAAAATCAACAATTGAGCAAATATTATTCCGGTAAACATACAAGGAATCAGCGAAAACGTTATTTACAGCGCCAGAGGTATGTACCATTTGACTTGCTAATTTTTCAGGGTTTACTTACGTCAGCAGTAATAAGTATTCGAATTTTACTTTATAGCAAGAGTACATCTTTATAGGTATTTCGTTATTTACCTTATAAGATGTAAATATATTGTAGTGTTTGTGTTTAGATGTCTTTGTTAATTTTGTAATAGTACATTCTATTCTACAAATATATTGTATGTCTCAAGAATAACCAAAGAAAAAGTCTGGAGTATATTTATATTGAGCTAAAATAATGTGAAGATTCGTACTTTATTTTTAATTTTAATTATAGACGAGGAAATAAAGCATAAAAATGGGCCTTACTGTTGATTTTTTGCAAAGTAAGAAGGGTTTAATTGAGATTTGTAGGCATTCGATACTTAATAATCTCTACAAACTTTTTAACCGTACGTAATCATGAATAAATATAAACTGTATTAATGCATTAAAAAAATGCATTTTATAAGTGCATTTTTAGGTATTTGAAGTTGAAAACCTTTAATTTGATGAATATTAGTAAAAATGATGTGGGCAACTGCATTGGTCTGCAAGCTAAACTAAGTGAGGGTAGCCAGATATGGCGAGAATTTCACCGAGTGATTGCTGGTATAAGCAATCTCCCACTTCGGGCGGATGAGATGGTAAGTGGTAGGGCACCATTTTATCCTAAAGTTGAGAAATCGGCCTCCAAGGCGGATGAACAAAAAAATCTGTCAACGGCATAAGAATATAGAAGGCAAGGGGAAACCACTACACTAAATTAAAGATTCTACACAGATGTTTCTAGTACAATTGTCATGGCTGTACAAAAAAGTAGCTCTGTTACTGATCATGGATATCGGAGGCCAAGATACGGCAGGGGCGGTAAATCACACACAGACTACAGGGCCTCTCAGGTCGATTTCAAACAAAATTACTGTGAAATACCTATTAGTAACACATCGTTTAAAAGAAGACTGAAATCGACAGAAAGTGTATGAAGATAGGAATGTGGAATGTTAAGTCAATATACCAAATAGGTAAAGTCCATATCATTCAGGAAATGGAAAGACTTGACATAAAAATATTAGGACTAAGTAAGACCAGATGGCCCAATTTAGGTGACATATTAGCAAAGAATATAGACGCTTATAGAAGAATCTTTCACTGTTACGTTTGAAAGTTTGCAAAAGATGATCGCACGTTATGAAAAAGAATGAGAGGGTGGATCGAGAAGGGAGCGGTCATGTCAACGCTATTATTGCTTTTAAAATATGAAAGAGTGGGGCAACAAATGCAACAGATATTTTTATGTATAATGCCAGAGAACTACGAACACATAATGCCGCGTGGCCGTAGAATAGGATTAAATTTTTGCGTTTTATAATATTTTTTAAAGAAAATAATAATATTTTAACTTTTAATAAATGAATCATATTAGAAAAAATATTATGATTCGAATTTTAAATTTAAATAGGTACAAATCTACAAATAATATTATAGTTAATAAGAAGAACTCTCTTTTTATTAACTATAAAATTAATTCAACCAATGAAGTCATCAATCACCGGAATTAAATATTTCCAAATTTTCTAAATTTAATAATTTCTTCTTTGTTTTTAATATAAAATAACATAAAATGTAAAACACAACACTGTTTTTTCTGCAGTATAATGGAAACATGTCTAAAAAGTTTAATGAAAAGTCCTGAGAAAATCAAATTTTTGGTTGAATTAACCCAAAAATTAACGAAATATTTTAAAAATATATTTCGTTAATTTTTGGGCAGAAAAAACAGTATAATAAAAATTTATGTGACGGTTTTTCGTTGTGTTGGAACAAACCTATTTTTAATTCAAAGTTATAAAATGTAAAAAATAAATGCTTTGAATATTGTAAATATCATACCTTTTTAAATTTCAAAATTCAAAATTTAACAATTTAATATATTGAAAATAAAGATTATATTGTGAAAAAAAAAACAAAAAAAGCATGGGATTTTTTTTAATCGTAGATGCAAAGTTAAATAAATAGCTCCTCCGTTCGTACTCCTTTCCCACTTTCCTCTAATTACATCTTTTATGAGATAGTTTAAGCCGACTGCCAGATGTGTTTTAAAGTGTAAACCCTAACCAAATCGTCCATTTGAAATGTTCTTCTATACGCCAAACAAAGATATACTACTCTGGTAATGACAATGATGCAAATCACTGGAACGGAGCAGGAAAAGTTCGACAACGTCCCAGACATAAGAGAAGATAAGGTATTAGAGGCGATAAAGCGAACAAAGAACAACAAGGCAACAGGTCCTGACGAAATACCTGTAGACATAATACACTCAATAGAAGAACAGCAAATTGGAATATTGGTCGACTTATTCAATACAATATACAGTACATGAATCATTCCCAGAGATTGGCTGATGTCAACATTCATAACACTACCAAAAAAAAAAAAAAAATGCAAAAGAATGCCAAGACCATCAGATAATAAGTTTAATGAGTCATACGCTCAAAATATTTTAGACAAATATTTAGATTTAGAAATACACTGGGAATGAGGGAAGCTCTGTTCGCTGTGAATGTACTTGTGCAGAGGTGCATGGATATTAATTATCCAGTATACATGTGTTTCTTGGATTACAACAAAGCCATCGATAAGGTCAGACATAACATAAGAGACATTAGGATCATTAGCGCTATCTATTATAATCAGATCGCTGTGGTAAAAGAAAAAACTGAGAGAAACTTTTAAAAGTGAGCTGCCCACATGCCTAAAGAGAAAGATATTTGATCAGTGCGTCCTCCCAGTCTTGACGTACGGAGCAGAAACACTTACCTTAACAAAAGCAGCTACCAAACTGAGAGTCACGTAGAAAAGAATGGAGCGGTCCAAGTTAGGAATAACTCTGCGAGACAGAATAACCAACGAAGACATCAGGAGAAGAACCGGAGTGACTGATATCATCGAGAAGATAGCCTGACTAAAATGGAGACGGGCAGGACACATAGCCAGAATGACAAATGGGCGATGGACAAAGAAGTTATTAGAATGGAGGCCAAGGGAAGACAAGAGAAGCGTCGGTCGTTCACCTACAAGATGGACTGACGATTTAAGAAGATTCAATAAAAACTGGATAAGAGTGGCGAAAGATAGACGGGGTTGGAAACATGATGAAGAGGCCTATACTTCAGTGGAGACCTGGACAAAGAAGTAAGAGATTAAGAAGAAAAAAGCAAATTACCGACAGGATGCCTTAATAACAGTATATGGCGAAACAGACACAATAACACTGAGATGAAGTCAAGAATTTATAAAGCCAGTGTAAGATCAATAATGACATGTCTCAGAAACAAGACCCGACACAACCACAACGCAAAGACTACTGTAAACGGCAGAGATGAGTGTACTGAGAATAATTACAGGAAATAAGTCACCAATCGGCAGGATCACGCAAGATGGGGTGACAACCTTCCATAGAGGTAATAACCCGCCAATGAACAAGCAGAATGGCTCATAAACAGGAACAAGAAGAAGAAGAATTGTAACAAATGCAATACATTGCATGTAGCTTGTGCTTCTTTGATATGGCATGCGCAGTTGTATGTCACTTGGATTCATACAGCCAGTTGCACAAAAAGATGCGCCTTCTAAAGACGCAAGGAATGTATTATTGTAAATATTTACATTAATTTTTAATGCCTTCCACCTAATAAAACACGAGTAATTTTTTATACTTACCATTGCTTAATATTTCGTCGTCGCTAGTCTGACCCTGTTTCATGTAAATAACGCCGAACTTAAAGTTCACCGAACCTTCTTGTTCCTCTAAAAGTAATAAGTCTTTTTGAATATCAGGTGAGAATATTTCTTTTGGTCCTTTTTCAACCTTATCCATATTTGGAAAGTTCGACAGAATCTGCTTGACTGTCAAAACTTTATTTTGCGATATTGGTAGCGATATTTTCTGGGTTCCCTGAAACACCAAACATAAATTAAGTTCGAAAGTTTTCCAGAGCTAATAGAAATTCAGTAACTTAACTAAAACTGAGTGAGGCAACGCGGTTGACCTAACCTCAAAGTCAGAGTATTGTTAATTTTATCGGAGGGGAAATTTCTTGACAGTTAAATATGACTTTGGAGGTGTTCATAGACGGAAACTTTGTAAACAAGATTTCGATTGAAACAACACTGTGTTAGTTAGTGATATACCTAGATCAAAATGGTTTCGTATATAATATTTGTCAATATTTTATATTTTTTTTTGAAATTTAGTATAAAGCATTATTCCTGTGTTTTCGTGTATAACATGGCTGAGAAAAGAATTACAAAAATTTGATTCTGTAAAATTTTAAAATAAATTAAGGAGTTGCTACGTAGCTTAGAAAGACACCACTGTTTTCTGTCTGTGTCTCAAAAACCCAAAAACCTATTTAAAAAAAAGTAGGCAATGATATTCTCCATACTTGCAAGATGTGTGGAATTCTACAGGGTTATAATTAACTACCTGGTACAGTAAACTTACAATTTTTTAAATGGGACACCCTATATATTTCTTCATATATCATATCATCTTCATATATATATATATATATATATATATATATATATATATATATATATATATATATATATATATATATATTCCTCTCATAATTCTTGTTCTTATAATATTGGGCTTTGAAATATTATAGAGTATATTCGCAAGTTATGACCATTTTTGTTTTGAAATTGCTATGAAATCAACACCATGTATATAAAGAAGAATTGCATGGAATGGAATATTGAAATAGAGAATGAACAGGAGTTGAATGTAGATGGTAGTGACGACAACAGCTGCTATAATGTTGAGCAATATGTATCTGATGATGTTCTAGAACAAGACTGAATCAGGTCTTAACATGAATCGGAATAAGACTGTAATGATGAGGTCCAAGGGGAAGAAGATAAGGAAAAAATAATTTTAAAATACTATCTTGGCAAAGACAAAACTATAAAGTGGAGTAAGTTGTGTTCTGCGCCTACTTCAAGAGTACCAACATCTATATTGAGAAGGTAAGAGTAAATTTCCAACGCTACAGAAATGCTAAAATGACCGGCGTAGAAGAGATTTGGGGACTTATTGGTATACTCTTTTTAGCAGGTGTTCTATAATCTTAAAGACTAAATGTTTTGTAAACATAGGATAATACATACACGTCGGACATAATAGAGAGATGCGATAAATCGAGGGATGCAATCCAAATAACATGCGCGACTTTATTAAAACGTGACAGACAGAAGAAGAAAGAATGGATGTCTGATGTATGAACAAAAATGCAGAAAAATACCAGGAGATCCACAAAATCATAAAAACGAAAATTAGAGAAGCCAAAGAAAAATGTTTTTCCAACGAATGCAAGGAAATAGACCAATACGAACGGAAATATGACAGTTACAATATGCACAAAAAAAATAAAATTTATAACAAACAAAAGGAAATTCAATAAGTTACGCAACAGCATAAAAGATAGCGATGGAAATCTTATCTCGGAGCCATCAACGATCTTAGAAACATGGAAATCATACAAAGGAAAATTATTTGCATCTGACAGAACTGATGATCATCTATATGGAGAAGGAGAAACAGGACCTTTAATCCTTAAATCGGAGATAGAAGATGCCATTGCAGCACTAAAAAACAATAAGTCAGCAGGTCCGGACAATGTACCCTGCGAAATATTAAAGAACTGACTGCAGTCAACATTTATTACAATCCCGAAGAAACCAAATGCCCAGATCTGTGATGTCTACCAGCTTATAAGCTTGATAAATCATGTTACTAAAGCGTTCACTACGATCATTCATAGAAGGATATATGATAAATGTGAGTCAAATATTGATAGATCGCAGTTTGGTTTTCGGAAAGCACTTGGAACTAGAGGAGCAGTTTTTGCTCTCCAGGTGCTTATACAGTGGTGTAGAGATGTTGATAAGGACGAGTATTTTTGCTTCGTGGATTTTAGAAAATCATTTGACAATGTCAATCAAGAAAAATTGATAGATTTTCTGCGAAAGACAAGTATAGACGGCAAGGACATTCGAATTGTGGCAAACCTTTACTGGTGCGAAACAGCAAGAGCAAAAATTGGCAACGAACTCACTGTAAGTGGGCAGATCAAAAGGGGTGTCCGTCAAGGGTGTATCTTATTCCCACTCCTATTCCATATTTATTTCGAGGTAATATTTAAAAAAAATATGTAAAAAGCGGATGAGGGCATAAAAATAAACGGCGAGTTAACGAACAATGTAAGATATGCCGAGGACACGGTGATCCTTGCCAGTACCACAGACGAATTACAACAGGTAATGGAAAGGGTTTATTCAGTTAGTGAGGAATACGAACCTTTATTTAATATTTCGTTAACTATTAACTTCTTTAAACGTATTTTATAACAAAATTCAGAAGTATTTTTATCTATTTTTCTTTCATTGCCTGGAGTAATTGCGTTAAATCAGATTTATGCAGTTGATTTGTAAAATGCGATTATCTCGAAAACTGTTGAGCATTGAAGTTATTAACAAGTATACCTTTTTTTGTTAAAATAATGTATCTTTAATATTTTTTATCAAAAAAACCGTAACTTTAAGAACAAAAAAGTTAAGTGGAAATGTATGGCACGTATGTGGCATATGTGCGTCCTCTATTAGCTATATCAAAGTATGCATCAAATTATATTTTTTGATATTGAATAGTACCCAGTTGTAAATTTTTATATAGGTATATAAATGTTTACAAACATCAAAGTTATAGCGAAAAATAAAATTTTAAATTTCCACTTTAACACCCTGTATCTTTTTTAATATCAACATTGTATTAAAGCACGTTGGCTTAAATCGTAATATTTTAAAGTGTAGAATCTGCGGTTTCTTTTTGTACAATTACTTAAGGACCACCCTGTATATATTGTTCCAAAAAAAATTTATAATTCGTTTTCCAGAGGATGGTGTATCAGTAACAAGAAAAATACAGCGTACTTTCTCTAAAAAAATTAGCCAACGTAAACAGGTCATGTTGTTAAGCATAATTTATGCACCATTTATTTTATTATTCACAAACAGAACAGATAAACTTATTAATAATCTTCAAAGCTTCCGAATAGCCTTAATGAACTGCTAGCGAAATAACAGGGTAATTTCGGTTCGTTTATCATCAAAATAACCTCAAGAAATGACATCATGAAATCAGAATATTATAGCGTACATATAAAATGTTTAATATCATTTGAACATAACGTTTTACATCGTTTGACTTATATTATTACTTATATAGAAAATATAGACACTAAACATTTCTTAAGAAAAGAAATAAAATTGTATCGCTTTTTTAAAAGCAAGACCTTGTTACATGAATTTTGTTATCTTTTAGCGTTTAAAATCATAACATACTTACAGTTTTTTTGAACAAAATTGCTCGACATAGAGGCACACAGGTATTAGTATCTTCGTTCAGTACTATACTAAGAAAAAATGGTGATTTGTCGTTATCCAGTCCAACGTAATTCTGGTGTACTGCAAAAAAAACATTAGTTAGTTATATAGTCATCTAAAAAATTATATATTTGAAAATATGATTCCAAATTACAATAGCCCACGGTACCGTACAAAGAAGAAATATACAAGCTGAGAGATAAAGACGGAAAGGCAACAACAGATGAAAATAACCAGAGAGTTTTATAAAGACTTCTATACCAGCCAAAGACCACAAGACAATTTCCCGACACGAGTAAAGACTCTCATAAATCAGGGATCGGAACTACTTTTACCCATTACTGTGTCAGAAGTAAGAGCAGCTTTAAAGGAAATGAACCATCTATCGCCTGGTGATGATGGACTCGTTATCGAGGCAATAAAAGCAGGAGGAGAAATTTTATTATAATCAGTAAGTGAACTGTTTAATAAATGCTTACATGCGCGTACGATTCCAAAAGACTGGAACAATGCAGTAATAGTCCTGTTACATAAAAAGGCGTTATTACTAAATTAGAAAATTATAAACATCTCTTGACACAGATGTATAAACTCTTTTTATTGAAAATCTTAACAAAGAGGCTAACACCTAAACTTGATTTCTATCAGCCCAAAGAACAGGCAGGCTTCAGGGCAGGATATGGCACAAATGACCATTTGCATACCGTAAAGATCTTAATAGAAAAGTGCATCGAGTACAACATACCACTGGTTCTTGCATTTGTCGATTACAAGAAGGCTTTTGATTCTGTAGAGTTTGAAACAATACTGGAAGCCCTAAATCAAAGCCGAATAGATTACAGGTACACGACACTAATCAAAAACATCTACGAGAACGCTACATCAAGTATACGACTACACAAAGACATAGAAAAATTCAGCTTAGGGCGAGGAGTTAGACAAGGAGACAATATTTAACCAAAATTGTTAACGGCAGCTCTAGAGTCAATATTTGAGAGCACTCAATGGCAAAATATGGGCATCAATATAGATGAAGAAAGAATAAATCACCTAAGGTTTGCAGATGATGTTGTATTAATCGCAGATAACTTACATGATACAGTTTCTATGATGCATTCGCGTAAAATTCTGTCTGAAAGAGCAGTATTAAAGATAAACTTTGAGAAAACAAAGCTTATAAAAAATCTCGTAATGAGTGGAAATATAACTATTGACAATAATACCATACAACAAACAGATACTTACAAATATCTGGGACACGAAATCAAAATAAGCAGAGACAATCAAACACATGAAATACAGAGGCGAATAGGCCTAACATGGACAGAATTTGGCAAATTAAGCTATATTATAAAAAGTTCAATTCCCATGTGTCTTAAGCGAAAGGTTTATAATCAGTGTGTTTTGCCTATACAAACTTATGGAGCAGAGACTTTAACACTCACGCAAAAGTCTGCGAATAAACTCAGAGTTACACAACGAGCCATGGAACGTGCAATGCTGAACGTGAGCCTTCGAGATCACATAACAAACCAACAAATCAAACAAAGATTAGGAGTTCAAGACATTATCGAAAGAACCACGACGTTTAAGTGGAACTGGGCAGGGCACTTAGCCAGAACACAAGATGGACGGTGGACAGGACGTATTATGGAATGGAGGCCCACAAACTATAAAAGAAGCCGAGGACGACCACCGACTAGATGGACCGATGATATAAAACGTGTAGCGGGAAACTGGCTACAAGCGGTCCAGTGTAGAGAACACTGGAAAGAACTGAGGGAGCCCTATGTCCAGCAGTGGACGCGATTGGCTGATTGATGATGATGATGATGATGATGATGATGATGATGAAGGTACCGTAGGGCCGCAAGGTCTTTCATAAACAAGAGCATTGTTCCTTAGTTTTATTCGACAGTTTGTTATACATATTTTTTACTTCACTCGTCAGAGACGAAAATGCTACTCAATCTTAGATTACCTTGCCGAGTAATTTATCAAGCTTGCTTTGCAAGTTTTAGAAAGCACATTGGTAAAAAGTTAAATTCGATTTCGCCAAGTAGAAATCGTATGATTTCTCTTTTTGTTTTTTTTTAGATACAAAAAAGTTTACCAGTTTTATCCACGGGCTTCCCTCTAAAACCATCCTCGCCGGAGGAAAAACGCAAAGAAATCAATTTACCAAGCATCTGTACACCGTAGAAAAATAATAAAAATAAAATGTTTCAAATGTAGCTGAGATAACTTTAAACACAAAAGTTTTGCATTGCTAATAGTAATGCATTGGTTAGTGATCAGTGTGGTATTGTCTGAGAGCTCAGGAGACTAAGATCTCAAAAGCCCTGAAGAAGACATTGAAGAGGATATCGAAAGCTCGGCGCAATGAAAATGATAATCGACGAGGTTTAACCCGAAGGACTGTTGAGTTTAATATTAATTTTAGTTCAAGGTTTAATTGTATTAACCGCGGAAATCTTTTGGAACATATATATTAATATGATCCGAAATTGTATATAGAGAAAAAGAAGCAGAAAGTGAGCATTCGACGAATCCGGTAGTGTTGCGCAGTTTTTAGGTTTTTAGGTAGTGCGACGTACCCTACAGCGCAGGGTCAGACGGCAGCCAAAGGTAAAACCGTATTTCCTACCGCTTTGGACGTCCACATGGCCTAAGCAAGGCGAAACAAAGGAAACTCAACGAATTTTGGATAACTTTGAAAATTTTGCACATGTTAGTGTTCCATTTTTTCTTTTGGAGATTCTGTTGGTCACGGTGTAGGCAGAGTAGGTGGTTTAAGTAAGAAAAGCCACCAACGTACCCTGTTACTAGGGCTGCCAGCTTTTGTTCGAGGATTTGGACTACCTGATGCTGTCTATATACTTTTCATTACGCGTAAATAGTACTTTTAAATTACAAAGGAAATATAAGTTCACAACGAGGGACAGCTAGCTATTGTTCTAGAGTTAGTATTGGCTACCCGCCAATTTACACATTGCATCGCGTGTAGAAAAAAAAGCCTCTTCTAGGGCAACTTAGCGTTCACTAAACAGTTATGAGATGCCCCGTTCAATCCCTTTCAACAGGTCTAATACACCCAAACTGGCTGAACCACCCGATCTCCCTTAAACCACCGCACACACTAACACAAATACACACGACGACACAGCTTTTCCACCCTTATCCACACACAACACACCATCAAATCCTCTATCACCCCTGCCGGGATCACCCAACCACTTATTCATATAGCCTACATTTCCAGCCTACACTTCACCTACCCTCCACATCCCTGAAGACACAACCACCCCGGTACTAAACACATATACAGACTTATTTGTTACCGACTTTCCACCCTCCCAGTCGACCAGATCGGCCGGTTGATCGCTCAGTTGCAGCTGTCCCGGTCATTTGCTATCCCCATCCCTACCCCCTCTCCGACCACCACCCAATCAGCCAACCCATAGCACACCACAACCACCCAAACACCACAAATCCAACCAACACCAACATTAAATACCAATCTATCTCCTACAGTAAGTTACAACCCTACATACAAAACAAACACACAGCTATCGTATGCGACTGTTATACATACTCCTAGACCACAACTCCCGCCATCCCTGGGCGATTCTAAAGTCCAGATTACCCCCAAACATGTACCCACACCAAGAAACCATATCCGTCCCACCACCCCTACATATATGGTAGTCGTTGAAGGTGTAGATAAGATCTACTCCGATGCCGACTTAACCACAAACCTTTTCATAGATGTACATACCTGTAGTCAGATTATCGCGGATCATATCTCGTGCCACTCTCTCCACCACATTTGTCAAAATGGTCACCTCTAGTCAAAACGGGTAAAAGTGCAAGTGCAGTCAAAACGGGCATACCATCGCGGAGTGCCTGCAGACACAGTACCGTTGCCCGACTTGTGGCCAGGATCACAAATCTACCTCCTGTCCCACCCCTCAAGCACTTAAATGCCCTAACTGTGGCGGAGACCATGCGGGTTATTCAGCCAAATCCCCCACAGAAGGGAAATTCCAAAATCACCCCAGGAAACATATTCTCCCTATGACCTGTCTTCAGACAGAAGGCAGTCATGGAGTTCACCTCCCTCATACTCATTAACCTCCTCTCTGATAGGCGACAGCTGATCTTAGATGTCACCAATCATCTTTCAACTCTAATGTTCGGTCGTCAGAGGACAGAGCGTCCATCTCCTTCCTGCCTTTGTAATGAACAGTTTGTTAGGTGCTGTAAACTGCCAGGGTGTTGCGAGAAAACGCTTCTTCATCAAACACATCTTTCAACATCACAATATACAAATCCTTGCCCTCTCCGACACCCCCTCCAAAAGTGACTTTATCTTTCCTGGATAGGTACTGCACTTTGCACCGCCCCCGCACCCAATTTTCACATGGTATTGGCTTCCTTAGCAAATATGGCATTCCTTTCTCCCCTCACACCATCACTCCTCATGTTATCCTAAGTGATGAAGACTTCCTGGCAGTTGACATACACCTCGATAACAATACCACACTTACACTAGCCTCTTATTACAAACATCCTGCTCAACCCCTATCCGAAGCACTGCTTGGTTATGTCTAAAGCCTGAATAAGACAATCATACTTAAGAGACTTAACTAATTAACTTAAGACATTAATATATTTAACAAAATTTAATATTTACGTAAATTATCACATATATCAATATGTATGTATGTCGCTAATAACCTCAGAAGTTGATGCGACGATGTAGGTATGACGACTAGGCATTGACGCAAAAGAGCATTTTTCATAATATAAAACTATCACAAACGTCCCATAAATATTATATTTAACTATAAAACACAATTTGTTTATAGAAACTCGTTTATATGGCTTCCTAAAAACAAAATTAATCCCAATATTGACAAATAGCATGAAGATCTACATTTTAACCTGTTCCGTATAAAAAACCAGTCATTCCGATGCAAAAATAGTCCAATCACCACCTGTTTATTTACATGGGCTAACTAAAATAACAACACTATTACTTACTCAGATAAATATAAGAGACCCGTTTCTAATCGT